TCTTCCGACCCTTCCGGTATCTCAGCCTGCCAATTCGACGGCTCGTTACCCCTGGGCCAAGCGGCTCAGATCTGCCTCCAGAAATCTGAGTAGAGTTACCACTCCAACCCTATCAGCTGCCGGTAAACCCAGAATACGGGTTCCTAGCTCTGTCATGGCGGAAGCTTCTAAATCATGGACCGGATATCTTGTGGGCCACTTCTATGGCATCGCCCCTTCGGGTTCGAAGATCTATCAATCTTTGAACCCCATATGGGGACGTCGGTCGAAAGTTCATGTTCGCAGGCTCAACGATACAACTGCATTGTTCCACATCTCAGACCTAGCAACTCGAGAGTGGATTTTAGAGGTAGGAGTATGGAGAGTTGTTGATGTCATTTTCTCTGTTGCTGAATGGTCCACTACAAACACGCTGCGTCCACCGGCGCTTACTTCTGCCCCAATCTGGGTCACCCTTTCGGACATCCCGGCTGAGCTCTACTCGTTACAGGGGATAAGTTACATAGCCTGCGGAATCGGGGAGCCCGCTCCCCTCCATACAGAACGTATGCGTTTGGACCCCCTCAATGTTGGAGAAGCCAAGGTCAAAATAGAGGTCCACCTCGGCTCATCTCTACCAGATTGTGTCGAAATTGAGGATGAAAGTGGGGTAGTTGTTATTGTCAAAGCTACCTACGCATGGACCCCACCCAGGTGCATTGGCTGCAATGAGTTTGGTCATAACGCTCATAGCTGTCCTCTGAAGCCTACTTTCAGAGCGTCTGCACCAGAAACTGATACTAACCCATCCAAAAACAAAAACACCGAAACTCCGCCGACTACTCCCCCTTCCCCGTCGCCACATCCCACCACTCAAACACAGCCTTCACCACAACCACAAAGGCAATCACTCCCACCCCCACAAACTCAGCCACTACCACTTACCCTAAACTCACCTACTAAGAATACCCCATCCATCGAAACCACTGATGACATGTATTTTGGTGACATTTTGGTATAGGATGTCTAGTGCATTTTACTCGGTTTTGCATATTTATAGGCATTCTAGAGCACATTTGGTCTCGATATTGCTTGGTTGCTTTCTTTGGTGTCAAAACAGGAATTCATGCATAAAAGAGAGCAAAAGGAGTGGAAAACATGGACTACGGAACATCACAGACGAAACGGAAACATTTGGAGTTGTTCCGGGGAAAAACACGAAGCCTAAAAAGTCAAATCTTGCAAGTCCAATAACTTCCACTCTACAAGTCCAAATTCCGTGTTCTCTACCTCATTGGAAAGCTCTCTTCAATATCTACGCATAGACACTAAGATCGCACAAATCCGACATTGGAGCAGAAAGTTATGAGCAAATCTGTCAAGCATGTTCGAGTTGAAGAATCGACACGGACCGTGTTGCATTCGACACGGCCGTGTTGTGTCCGTGCTGAAAAAAGTGAAGTTTTGCTCAGATAATTGACACGGACCGTGTTGTCATTCGACACGGCCGTGTTGATTCAAACTCGCCCGTGTTCAGCCCATGTCTAAAGTGCAGATTTTTAACAGAGAATTGACACGGACCGTGTTGCATTCGACACGGCCGTGTTGCATTACGGGAAAACTTCCTATTTTGCATCCGGACCTCCGTTTTCAGCAAAGGAAGAAGCCCAGCTGCCAAGCAAATAAATAGGAGACGTCTTGGGCTTCAAAAGTCATCGAGAGATCATAGCAGAAGCCAGAGAACTCGAGAGAGAATCAAGACGGAGTTTCCCGGGAGCAGAGATTGAAGAATCATCGTCGAGAGATCGCTGCGAGTCTTCTTTATCAGTTTCTATGTTTCTTCTTATTGATTTGAACTCGTTCGTTGTTATGGGTAGTGAGTAGTCGTTTCACTGTAGCTAGGGATTTAACCTTGTAGGGATTTGTTTGGTTTTTAAGGTTAGCCTTGCATTCCCATTTTTGCTTTCTTGATGGCTACTCGGGATTCTTCCAAATCCCCATTCACCCTAGCGACCAGGAGAAAACCACCTTTACATGCCCATATGGTACCTTCGCATACCGTAGGATGCCTTTCGGTTTATGTAATGCACCGGCAACATTTCAAAGATGCATGACTGCTGTGTTTTCTGATCTCATTGAGGATGTTATGGAGGTGTTCATGGATGATTTTTCATTGATACCCACTAGGACGGTTACGGGTTGGAGGATGTGCATTGATTATAGGAAACTGAATTCCAACACCCGTAAGGACCATTTCCCGTTGCCCTTCATCGACCAAATGCTAGAGAGGTTAGCCTTGCATTCCCACTTTTGCTTTCTTGATGGCTACTCGGGATTCTTTCAAATCCCCATTCACCCTAGCGACCAGGAGAAAACCACCTTTACATGCCCATATGGTACCTTCGCATACCGTAGGATGCCTTTCGGTTTATGTAATGCACCGGCAACATTTCAA